AGAGTCATAAAGAGAGTCATTAAGAGAGTCATAAAGAGAGTCATTAAGAGAGTCATAAAGAGAGTCATTAAGAGAGTCATTAAGAGAGTTATAAAGAGAGTCATTAAGAGGTCATAAAGTTTCTGTGGGAACCTCTGTAGAAAATACCGTGTGAACAACTGAAGAGAAACACGCTCACATCACGCCTTTGCCTTATATCCACTCTCTGCTTTGCCCTTAAAGTATCTTTCGGGCTATAAATGAGCCAAGTGTTTAGTCAAGGGAGGATCCTGACTGAGCCACTCGACAAGGCCTTATGACTCCTAAAGTCAAGTCTTACGCGCTGGCTAACCTGGGCTCTTGCCCAGGTCTCAACTTGTAGAGGAGGCCGAAATTGTTTTTTTGATTGTTACAGCAGCACTTCATGCTGTAGGTAGGGCCCCAAAAATGACTTCAGAAATGAGGCTCCCACCCCCTAAACCAGGCCCTCCCCGAAGTTAGCGTAGCTTTCCTTTTATGGCAGTGAGCTTCCTTCCTGCCCGCTGAACTGCTACAGTGTCAAAGGTCAGTGTATGTTTACTACAACACTAAAGTCTAAGCCACGACAGTCGGATATTGAGCGAGGGTGACAGATAGGCTTCCTGATATCTCTAATCATGTGCATTAACGCAGAAGCTTTGAGAGTAACTTTCAGTTTCTGTACATTGCAACGACACTGTTTATGATGATGTGCATGTTTGAGGTGGTTTTTTCTGTTACCTACGAGTCAAGCGTAGGTACTGTTCACCCAGTTTTACGCTGGCTCAACATAAATTGAAATCCTGGCCACATTTCTTACGCCGTTACTGTTATAATAACTCAGTATATAAGTTTATTTGTTCTGCATTTTCTTGCCGATTATAGGCAAACCATTCAGGCATAACGTGTTGCACAATGAATGTTGATTGTCAACTTTCACGCATCTAGCGTAACACTCGTGCTTTCAAACTCTCACCCTTATGCAAGAATCTTATAGCAAATCTATATTATTTCAATAGAAATCTAAAATTACATACATCAAAAGGATTGGGGTAGTTTGCAAACCATACAGACTATTCACATGGTAATAAAACTGTTACATGTAAATGCATGTGCATGTATGTACGAACTGAAGATCTCCCTCCAGCCAGCTGACCAAAGCTGATAGCCCTGCATTAACTCAGGCTCAGCCCAGACCTCCACTTAGCATCAACTCAATACGGATAACCTTAGTTTTAACTTCACATGTAGATTCGCATGTAGTCATTATTTTTACTTCAGTATTCAGAATCAGCAGGAAGTTCTGTGTAGTCTAGTGGAAAATGACACGCTCTCTGGCTGGGTTTCAGCTTTGAGAACGTCTGAAGCTCATCAGTGACCAACCTGCTTTAAAAAGCAGCTTAAGTGAAAAGCGAACGAACCCAGGAACCATTATATGTGGCTTTCTGGAACGGAACAACCACACAAAACAAATATTTCTAAATAAAGGGCCTGAATCATCTGCCCAGAAAATTACGAAACACACATCACTATCAAGTTCAGCGAAGGAGAAATGAAAGATTTGGCCGGACTTTCCAGAAGCACTTTCTCTGCTTTCTCTAACGTCTTAGAAACGCAGACGCCACCTACCGCCCTCCTCAGGAGCTGCTCAGACTTGTTGCGGTTAATATCCCTGCAGCACCAGCTGCAACATAAAAACACGAGAAAAGGCAAAAATGAGCGGCCATGACGCTATAGAAAAGGGAACGGTGAGTGAGGGATGAAATGAGCATCCTCCAATTCATTTTTACATCATGTCCTTTCCGGGGCTTTCACTGCAGCAACAGCACTAACACTAACATTATACTCTAACACCAACAGTAATACTACCACTAACATTATAAACTCAAGGCAACAGTGTTACAGTTAGTTTGATCTGGCAGGTTGAGACAAAGGCATTTGATAGAAACAATCTTGATTCAAAAAACACCGGGGGTACGAGTGTGAGTGTCACATACTTACACATACTGATCGAGGTTGTCCTGTTTTTTCTCAGTCACATAGTTACTGGGGATGTACCCTTCCTCTCTGCATAACACGCAAGCAATAAAAGCATTATCAACATCCATTCAAATATATAATAACAAATACATAATAACAGCGTCATCACTATTGACAAACACCAGCAGCAAGGCACAGGTGGGGGAGAGTTACACTCCCATGTCAGCCTAAGTGATGAATCTACTGCTTTTCACTTGCATTTGGGGTTAATGTGTCAGAGATGTGATTAGATTGGCTGATGGGGGCTGGGGGGGCATGCGGGGGGCACTGACCCGTGCTTATTGCGGGCCTTGTACCAGTGAACGTCACACTTCTCCAAGATAACATACTCCTCCCCCATGACCAGAGTCAGGTCATGAGGTTCCATGCCCGCAAAGTCATACAGGGCGATGACCACCTCCTCCTCCTTATTCTCCACCGCCCCCTCTTCTTCGGGGGGTGGAGGTGGGGGGGGGCGTCGTGTCTGAGGAGAACATGGCAGGGGTTAAGGGTTTTACTCATAGCAGGAGCCCACCCACATGGAAGGGGGCTGAGAAAGGAGGTGTTTTATACACACAACAAGATGGCATGTTGACTAGCGGGGGATGTCAGTATATCATAAAGGTCAGAGCAGCCCGGCCTTCATCCCCATGACGGGATTGCTGTGAATTTTATACATTAAGTGGTTTAGCTGCTGCAGTGAGTGAGGAGCCCATTACGGAGCTCTCTGTCAATGGCTCCCCTTACGGAGCTCTCTGTCAATGGCTCCCCTTACGGAGCTCTCTGTCAATG